ATTCCTTTAACTCTGTTTTATATGCTTTAATATGTTCATCTGCTTCAGTGATGTTCATTTCTTCCACTACACTACAAAGGAGTGCAATATCAGTCAGTGAACACTCATTTTGAATTAGACGTAGAATGCCAGAAGCATCAGTACATTGCTCAGCTTTTTGTCTAAGATCTGTACTACAACAAGAAATTAGTTCCTTCATTTCTTCTAAAGGAGGAGATTTTTGCTTAATAGTCTTTTTAACATTGTAAATCATTCTTCCATAAGATATTCTCATTGATCTGAAGTTCCCCCGTAACTTTTTTGAAACAGGAACTTGCACTTCAGCTACATGTAAATGTACAAAAGATATCATTAGTTAAATAGTACCGTATAGCTAGAAATTTTTGTGGCTCAAAATTTCTGCGAATTGCCAAAAAATGGCTTTTGCAGATTTTATTTTTGCAAATTCACTTGATCACACTACTTATCAATGGCTGCTCTTCACTACTTACCACAACTATAGCTGATAATTACACAAATCTTTATCAGGATATTAGGCAAGATAGGATTACTTTTTAACTCTGCTTAAAATACTGGAACAGTGCTAGGAACACGTACGCCATGTGCTTCACCATAATTACACTGAGAAAAGGCGTGGTGAGCCACACCTTTTAATTAACATATTTATGAGGATTTTTTTGCGATTTTTTTCAAATTCACAAAATTTGAAAAAATTTTGGGCCACAGAAATTTCCAGCTATACAGTATGTTGTGTGCATTTACCTTGAGGTGATAAAGGTTGTGGAGATGAATTACTAGCAACTGCTGCATTAGAAGGACTAGATGTGACTATGAATTAAAAATAAATAATTAAGTAATAATTACCAGATTGTGTTATGTTGGTTTCACTGGCAGTATTTATATTAAATTAATGTATTATCAATTAATTAAAAATTATTACATTGTGGAACTACATCATGATCTTTAATAGTCTCAGGAACCACACCCACTTCAGGAGTAGGAAAATACTTACCTAAACACATAATAATAAACAAATGCAATTGCTATTAGTTAGGACATTTAAATTGACTAGATTTATGCTTCCCACCAACATATGCACATATCACACCATAGTTGATGATATTCATTGACTATACATATAATTTAAATAAACAATAATAATGAAACCGTATACCGGT